ATGCTATCCAAGTATATATTATTAGTCAAGTTAATCACTTTGGAAGGAGTTTTGTGAATGCTTCTCATTAACTAAGAACCATGATTCTTCTGTAAAGATCATAATGTTACATGAGCAAAGTGATATGCAGAATACCTCATTTATAATCTCTGGTCTATTTGGCCTTTTTCATTTCATGTTGTTCTTTTTACAGCATGACATATCCAAAATCTGACAACAAGGAAGAAGGAAGCTTATCTAACTGAAGACAGAGAAATAGTTGTAGCCTCCCTGCTTTTCAGCAGAGCTCCACTTTTTTCTGCAGCTTGTGAACTTGTCTTACTTCAGTACATGCAAAGTGAGAAATTCTGTCCATCTCTAACAGACTTTGTTCTTCTGAAAAGGCAGAGCTCCCTGACCTTTGCCCAGGCCTAGCACCAGTTGATAGAGCCCTTCTTCTAGCAAAGGGCAACAGACTTCAAAATCATTCAGAGTTGAAGGTGACTTATCCAAGCACTGGACTTCAAACATTGTCAAGTCTACTGATGACAAACAAGTTATACAGGAGAAAAATGGTCATGATTTACATCACCCTCGAAGGCCAATACATGCAAAAAATCAAAACAGAACAGTAAATTACCCAGCAAGCTGTAAAAAGAAATTTCACGTAAGCCTAAGAGTGGAATCTAGCTGCTGTGCCCAGTCCATTTTCTTCCTTGAACCTCTCTTGCTGATGTTTTTGATACAGCCTGGACTCTCCCATCTGTCTTCTCTCCCACTTGTGGTCACCCTGCTGTGCTGTGTTAACTCCAATCCATCACTATCTGGATCACATTTAACTAGATGAAATGGAGATTCATCTGTCTGTCTAAATCCTTCTGTTAGAACTGGAAGTGGATGATAGCACACTGACAGCCTGATTTACCCTTCTCCCCCTGAGGATCCTGGAACAGGAACTGAGGAATACTAAGAAAGAAAACGTGCTAACAACCCACATTAGTTATCCTGGGGAGACCTCAGCAGTGGGCAGATACCCCTGTATCTCTTACAGCACAACTCTAGCACCTGCCTCCACAGCATCTGCTTCTCACATTGCTGGAGACATTATATAGGTGTTAACGTTGTGCTGAACTACACCAGAAGAGAAACTCCTACATCCATCAGATATAGCAAGAAGTTGAGAATTGAAAGAGCTGTTTTCTGTCAGTAAGGGTGCTGAGTGCCTGGTTATTTTTGTACTTTTTTCAGATTAGGATCTTCCCAGTGAAGCCATGATCTCTGACTATACACCACATGCTGATTTCAGTGCCTTAAGAATTTAAGGGGAGGAACCTTTACGCTTTTTGAATCTTTGAGCTGTTGCTGAGCCCTGCCGTGACCCAGCCAGCCTTACACATGCCAGAGAATAGCCTTGAGTACAAGAGCCCACTACTCTTGATCACAGCAGAAAGCCCATCCCAAGGGCAAGATAATTAAGCAGAAGACATCCATAACAAGTAAGTGTGAGGTCAGTCCTTATTGTTCTGTTTGAAGTACTTCTTCTGCTTGGTACTCAGCTTTTAGATTTTGGGTACCTTGCTTCAGAGGATTCTGGCACTGCCACTATATTTATCTGCTCCTTCCACATCAGAATGTTTAACGTCATTTTCAAGCAAGTAGGAATTCAAATGTGAATGGTGTGTACAGCATTCTGTAGTCCAGGATAAAAAATACTTTCTGAACACTAAGCAATTCATACAATGATCATAAAAGAAAGCTGCAGTACATTCATTCTTAATCCTAATCACTATTAAAAATATTTCACAGGAGTTACAAATCTACTGACTTCATAAAAGAACAATTACAGATTTTGTTGTTTCCTTGCTAACATTTTTGCTCCATAGCCTAGATCTCATCCCAGCCACTGTTTCCTCTCCTTAACGTAGTTTCCATTCACACGTTAATCTGCATCTGAGAGGAGAAGGGGGTGGGGGGAGAAGGACATACCTACACATAGCTACAGAAATGGTAGGATATAAGCACATCCCAGGGCACAAAAGTTGAAAAAGCCTTTGATGAATTACAGGATGCAATATTAATAATATATAAATACAAAGAAAATACCAGCAAAGCTTGAAGTACATGTTGGATAGCAGATTCTGCTGATCCTGGCATCTTCAAAGTATACTCAAAGGTTTTCAGAATATTTTCAATAGTATAACTCTTCAAAACTAATATTATCTAGAACACACAACTAATGATAATAAAATAAGCAATAAAGATACAATAAATAGAGATAACAGTATCCCATAATCCAAAAACATATGACTGGCCCAAGGCACAGTTAGGATTTTCCTACATTACATACATATATAGGATTAATATTTGGGCAGTGAGGAATTTTTCAATGTTATTTTGGAACTTAATAAATATCCAAGAATAGTAAGACAAATCTGTCAGTCAGGGATTAGAAGTTCTAACAATATATTATGACTAAAAGACAGTACACTTTTTTTAAAGATAACAAAATATCTGATTCAGAAAATGTGTAACTGCTGAGAACTTTTAGAAAAAGAGAAGTTATTTAATCTTAGACCTCTCACTCAGTTTGATAACAAATGGAACAAAAGGTTTCATGTGATAAAGGATGCTTCTGAAACATCAGTATGTATTTTTTCCCTTTGTTGGCTTACACTTATCCTTCATAAGAATGTCAAGGCTGAGTGTTCTATTGCAGAGTATTTCTCTTCCCAAAACTGAAATAATATAGGTAGCACTAGCCTCTGCTCTCAGTTTTAAGTACGAATGTCCAAGGTTTATTCAGCCACGGCTTACTAATGTGCTGTTGGCTTGAAATCAGACAATAAAAAGAACAGATGGCTTAACCAAATTTAATTTGTTATTTTATTTATCCTTACGCTGCCTCTTTATCATACAAATATTGAACAGTTATATTGTACAGTTAGAAAAACAAGGCTGTGTTAGAGCTTGTTTATGAGCTAATCTTACACTTAACCATCAATCTTGAGATGCAAAATGAGTAATTTAAATGGGATTCCAGGTCATTGATTTTTTCCTGACCAAGTCTGTGATGGAAACAGCAAAAACTGCCATCAGAAATCATAATATTTGGTAACACTTGCCAGCTCAGTAGTTGATGGCAGTAATGCTGTGTCAGTGATTGTTTGCAAAAGCAAAAGATCTACAACTGCATGAAAAAAAACGTTTAAAAGTAAACTCATGCCTTGAAATCTGGCATTCTTCTATTTCCAAAATGTTTTTCAGTGCTCAACAGGGAATGATGACTGACATCTGCAATGTCCTTATGATCATTTACTCATTGCAAGATCTGGGCTTGATCATCATGCATTATTGTCACTGCAGTGTTCGTGGGACCAGACCATTTTATCTGATACCATAGATCTAATCATCTTAAAACTTCTGAAGACTTTGCAGTATTGCTTTAGCAGTTTGTCAGAATAACTCCTGCCATCATCCTTCTTAGGAGACTTGAGTAAGATTATTGCAGAGCAAGTGCCCATAGTGCTACAAATTAGGTCATTAATTGTGAAGTAAACTCAAACTGAATGATTTGACCAGTACAACTCTTGAATAAGTAGGCTCAGTTTGGGAGCATCCTTGTAAGAGCATTTTTATTATGTTATTTTGTTATGTAAAACTGCTGCATGCTTGGTACATAGATTTTAAAAATGTATTTCTAGGGCATTCCCTATACAAGACTGCTGCAGTTTTACTGAGCAGCTTTATTGTCTCTAGGGAACTTCTTTTAAAAAGTGAAGTGCAGCATCTATCACGACTTTCTTTCTTAACGTAGCCCTCTGAAACTTGCGATTCTTTTTTCTGCAAGATGAATGCATTCAATTTTCTGATGCATTTTGACATATATATGATATTTGTATATGCAGATTTCTGACTCCATGTCTGCTGTTTTGCAAAGAACATCTTCAAGATGATCTTGTCTGAAACCTTGGAATCTGTCAGGTCACTTGGGCATAACAGAAAACATAACTGAGCTCATAGATTCCAACCTTTATATATATATATGTGCTGATTCATTTACAGACTCCCTGCCAAAAGCATCAATCACCTCAAGACACAGCATCAGCAGACAATTTGTGCCTAGGACACATTAATGAAAACTAAACAGATGAAAGCACAGTGATAAGAGAATACTATTCTCAGATAGTTTAAGAACAACATGGAAGACAAAAATGAAAATGCATTTATACAACTACGTGTCATTTGATCTTCTTAGCCTATAGTTAATTCCCACAAGAGAGTTAATTCAACCTGATTTTCATGTGGTATAATTAGAGAGAACAAATGAATCTGTGAATATGTTATGTGAAGAATATGTACAACTCCACAGTGACTAGAAATATCTACACCTTCAGTTCTGCAGGCATCTGATTCCCTTCAAGTTAAGCAATGAAAAGATCAGTACCTTTCTTCCCTACTGGGAAATGATTGATAACTCGTACATCCAAATTGTGTTTCCTCTTCAGATGCTCTGACTCTGTCACAGTCAGCCACAGACCGTTCAGGAAAAGAGAGAGTGGTGTGTAATTAAGAAGACTGGTCACACTGCTGCAACATCTGAAAGTCATCAGCCATTACATAAGGTGACAATTAAGCATTACAAAGTTTGTAATCCAGCAACCAAACAATTGAAAAAAATGATTACATTTTTCATCAAAATTCACACACACACACAAACACAACATTACAAAAGAACAAAATGGATTAAACTCAGTTTCCCACATAACAAGTTCATTCCACTCTAGCAGCAAAATTCCTTAGCCCCTACTGTTACTGCCACCTTTGAGACTTTCCACTGTTTTCACAGGTGTGAAGTAAAGCACACGTTATGCAAACCAAACAACGCCAAAGGGATAATCTGTCAGCTGATCAGTGGTTTGTTCCGGTGTATATTTGATTTAATTTAAAAAAAACAAAAAAAAAACAAAAAAAACCAAAACCAAACACAAAACAGATTATAAAAGCAGCCCAGAACTGAAAGCCTGTTTACTTCTTCAAAAAACATGTGGGCGTTCTTAGTTCTCGTGGGTGCTGCAGTTGCTTCTGCTCACCTGCAAGATCAGACTTTTGATGGGTACGTACAGACATCAGGTTTATATTTTCATGATTTCTTCTCCATGAGCAAAAGTCTTCCAGCTGACTTATCTTTTTAAAATCCAATTTCTCTCTCCTTTCAGCCACAAGGTGTTTCGAGTGACTCCACAGAACGATGAGCAGGTGGAAATCATCCATTCCCTTGCCAGCAAAATGCAGGTAAAGAACTTGGGGAAGGAGCTTTATTGAATCCAAATGGAACATTTCTCCTGTTCCTCAACTAATCACAACCGAAAAAACAACAACAAAAAAAAAAACAGTAACAAGCTTCCAAATTAAAGACCTAGTCCTGATTCCAGCCAATTCATCATGAGTTCTTCAGAGGGAAGAGGAAAATGTAATAAAGACAGAATTGCTTACATACTAGTTTATGTCTTCCTGAAAAGTCCAGATGCCCCAGTCTGAGTATGAAAGTGTTCACTGCAATGTATTAATTGAGTTACTTTGAAATTATATATTCATTGTGGAGTGCCTTCAAGAATTAGACAAAACATGAAACTTCCAAGTACAGGAACGTTTAATGCTAAAGGTGTAAGATTTTGTTCATGCAAACAATCTAAAAATTCGTATTCATAACAAACTGAACAGTGTTTTGGCCTCTAGCCTCTTGTGTCACCTTTTGTCTGTGACTTTCCTTTAAAATTTTCTTTTTCCAGTCAAGCTGCATGTTTCCTAGTGACCTTGATGTAGATATATGATAACATAATGACATGAGAAAAAACAATAAAGACAGCAAATGTGTTTCCAATATTTCTCTTCAGCTTTGATGTTGTAAAATAGCTGTTGGTGAAAAAGACACCATTATCTGTAGGATTAAAGGATGGTCTTTTTAATGAAGTACAGATGTGGAGAAGTAGCAGCAGCAGAGTACTACAGCATGCTGAAACAGTATTCCACAGAAAGAATATATACTGGTATGTTGCTGCTAGTTCTATGAAAATGAATATAACAAGTTTGCTCCTAAGCAATCCCAGTAAAGAAAAGATCTCTAAACTACTGTTGTTATACAAAGCAATCTGCCAGGACTCACGTGGTAGCAGTATACACTGTAATAGTCATCTAACTTGAAGATACATCATTTTGTGAACATGCCCACCAGCCTCAATTTCCTTTATGCTCAGGACATGAAAGGCTGAAAAGGCATTAGACTGGTAAACCAGTTTTGTTTTCACTGACCTTTAACAGGACTCTAAATCCAAGAGATCTTAAAGCAGATTTCAGAAAGAATATGTGAAGTAGTAATTGCACTGTCATTTGTCCCTTATGAGTTAAACAATGTCTTCCAAAGGCATAGGCTCCTCCTACAAACGGCACAAAATGAGTCTTAAAGACACTTATAAATGCAACAGTCCTTTCCAGCTGATGCATGTAAAGTATGTTTGTAGCTTGCTATACTCAGGAGACCATTTAATGGTTACAGGCAAAAAACTCCAATGAAATGTGAACAAAGAATGAAAAAAAATTATAAAGAGAGTTACAAATTTTGCACAGCATTCACAAATCTGTATGTGTTCAGACACTGTCATAATTGTATGGGATGCTCAGAGCAGACAACATTCTTTATGCTCCAAAGCTCCAGTGTCTTTTACATCAGATTCTTTTAAGTGAAGTTCAGAACGTTCTTCTGGATATAAGGGCTACTTGTCATTTGATTTAGGGTGATAATTGTCTCTTTTCCTTTTTCAATTTTGAAACGAAAAAATACCAAGCACTGATTTTAGCACTGTGCAAGACTAGTGCAGTCCCTACTAAGTAACATAATTTAATAAGTCAAAAATTAAATGTACTCAAAAACTGAGTTAATACTTGGTATTTGTTAAACTGTTACTGCCATCTCCAGAAATCTTCCATGTAAGTTCAAGGGTCTAACAAAATCATCTTCACTGAATTCCATTTAAAACTTAAGTCAGTTTTTCTGGCAAGCAAGATCAGTCAATGTAACAGCGGAATGAAATTTGTTGTATCAATCACAATCAGCATCACTATATCACACATGCACTCACTTAAAACTCAGTCATACGTATGTATGTATTTGTTCATATATTCGTTTGGCTTTCTTTCAGGTCGACTTTTGGCAGCCAGACTTCGTCAATCTGGTAAAGCCAAAAATGCAAGTTGATTTCCGAGTTGAAGCTGACAAGGCTTTGGAGGTTGAACATCTCTTCAAAGAAAACGAAGTGGATTATAAGTAAGTTTTTAGTAGGAGACTGAATATTGGAGAAAATGTGTTGAACATTTTCATCACTGATTGCACTTATCTTCATCACAAACATCCTCCTTGGTCCAGCTTGATTAGCAGGCTTTTTCAATGTGTAGAATATGCATAAATACAGATACAAAACTCAGTTTTACTTGATCAAACTCTCATGACTTCGTTCAGCAGAGTGGAGAGTTTTCATCACTCAGATTTATTTCCACCAGATCAAACTCCTTTGCTGGAGTTCTCAGGAAACATAGCTGGTAGGTTCTGCTAAATCTGAGGATTATCTCTCCCTAAACTTGCCATCCCCATGTTAACTGTATCCTGTTTGGATGCCACAGGAGGGAACAGAGCTAAAAATACTCTAAGAGATTGTTCTCAGCAGTACCTCAGCCCACGTACAGCACAGGAGTCCAGTTTCATTCGAAGTACTTCTTTGGCAAAGGAAGAGTTACATGTGCTATCTTTCCCTATGATATTTATGAACTCCCTCAGGTTCATGCACAAATCTTTTGATTGCAACAGAGGAAACAAATGTCTGGAAGGTGTCCCTGACAAACTTCAGTGGAGTGTCCTTGTGACAACCCAAGCAGTTAAAATTCTTTTGAAGTGGAGCTGCAGTGCCATGATACCATGTCAATGTGCTCATTTGCACTGTTTGTTCTGAAGGCTGATGGTGCCTCACAAAGTGGCCTCCTGCTCTTCTATCCAAATGATTGAGCACATATCCTGAACAAGTGAGAATTTGTAAGGATATTAAGACAAACACTGGAAAAAACAAGGAAACGTTTTTTTTTATAGCCAAGGCTGAAATATGAGCAAAAGGTCCTCAAGACCATGCTTGAAGATGAGCCGTGTCTTTCTATCAGCCCCAGGGAGACGAGCAGGGGAGATTCAGGCAATGCAGTCAGGGTGGTAGGGTGGTTTGTTTCTGTTGTTGTTTTTGTCAGCTTATTTTTTTGCCATGTATGGATCCTGCCATCTGCAAACTGCACCTAAACTTTGGAAGCTTGGTTTGATAAAGAATTTAATCATGCAAACATCTCTGGGTTGCTAGAGATCCTGGATAACAGGAGGGTTTTACGTTACTGCAGTCTAATTGTTCTTCAGCATCATCAGTTGAAGAGAATGCCCTTTTCCTTTTGAGGAAGAGGCAATGTGACATTACAAGGTCAGTCCAAGGCAAAGGAGAGTTTTACTTGGATACAGAACTAATATAGTTTACATGCACCCTGTTTTAGCACTGCCTTTCTTTCTAACCCCAACTGTTGCCATTCTGGAGGTTTGCTAGTATGGGAGTTAAGTGGGCAGGTGCAAGTTGAGAAGCTATTGCTTTGTGATCATTCTGTCAGCACGGATGAGGCAGAAAAGAGACTGAAACTTGAACATAGCTTCTATTATTTTCAAATGCATAAACCAGTTCACCACATGTTTCTTCATAATCAACATGGCCTTAATTCTGTGCAAATCCAAAGATATCCATGTGGTGCTCGATTTTCTGCTAACAAATTGCACATTTCTTTCTGCTTTCCGTGGTATTGCAGAGTTCTGATTGACAACCTGCAGACTGCAATGCATGCTCAGTTTGACAGCAAAGTTCGTAGCACTGGTCACAGTTATGAAAAATACAACACCTGGGATCAGGTAAAGTCCAAATGTTTTCCACTGTATCAACTTGATATCTTAGCCTCCATTGTCAAAATGGCTTCTGATATTCTTCCATCAATATTCCCTTCTCCTCTTCCATTATATCCATTAACTTGATAACCTCCTCTCCAAAATCTCTCCTTCACTGCTCATTACAGAGATAATCTGCATAACCCATTTGCCTACACATACTTATTTATTTTGTATTTGACTTCGGTGGACTGTTCCCATAAATCCCTGCCCAGTGCTTCCATAAACAGTTCAAGAATGATAATAAATAGAAGAGCTATGAAACTGAAAAACATGACAGCATGCAGAAGACTTAAAGCATTCAATCTACTTACTGTAAAAGGAAAAAAGTTTTCTTTTGTCAGAAGAATTAAAAGGATGACAAAATCATAATCTCTAAGCACTATGTACGGTTAGCATTCAAAAAGTTTCTTCACTCACCAACCAGACGCCAATGATTGGACATTTTAGATAAATTCATATCAGAAAATCCTAGTTCAGCAATAGTTTGAAGTCTGCAATGAACCACTATCTATTACTGGAAAAAAAAACCCAACAACTAAGATTAGATACACAAGTATCTAGCACAAGCAAGAGTTAATAATAAGAAATCTATCAATGGTATTAAATATTTGGTTCAATTCTCAGAAGGACTCTTCCAGCTTGTGCATAAGTTACTCTGGACCTGAGGACAGACACATCAACATCTTTATTCTCCTTATTAAACAGATAGCTGCTTGGACTGCTGACATTGCTGCTCAGAACCCAAGCCTGGTCTCTCGCAGTGTAATTGGGGAAACATATGAAGCACGGCCGCTGTACCTTCTCAAAGTGAGTGCAGTGATTCATTTGTGCCAGACTGTTTTTCTGCTATTATCCATGCAAGACTATGATGCCTACTGAACGATGATGCTAAGATATTAATATACGTTTTAAAAGGAATCAAATTGATTTTTTGCACTATTTGTAATACGAACTTTTTTACCCTAAGATATAAGGGCCATAATGAACTATGAGAAGTTCAGGCATAAATTTAACAACAATCCTGTAAGCCAGGTGAATTATCAACTACCTTTATATTCTCTTCACCTGTAAGCACATTTACTCTAAAAGGATCTATAAATGTCAGTCTCTCTAGCAAAAGGCAATGTTTGTTTCTTCATCAGACACAGGTTTTTTGAATAACTCGTATGAGTAAATAAGATTAACATTAACAAATTAAAGGTGAGAGAATAATGGTTACTTGCCTAAAATTGCATAAGCATCTATCACCCATCCAAACAAAACTAACTACTAGAAACACCACAGGGAATATATCAACAGTGCAGAACCATCTATTATTGTGGTGGAGGAGAGAGTAACCTACATTAATAAAAATAAAACTATTAAGACCATAAGGTTTTAGCTTGAATATCATTGTCAACTACAGCTGAGAGCACTCCCTAGTTTTCCATTTATTCAGGGAAATGTACAGTATTACTCTTTAAGTCAACAAGGTGGCAGACGTCTTTTGCGTACAAATTGTTTCTTTCAGAACTTGGGTTTGTTTTTTTATTTGTTTCTGTAGTTGGGAAAAAGCGGTACGAATAAGAAGGCCATCTTCATGGACTGTGGTTTCCACGCAAGAGAGTGGATCTCCCCTGCTTTCTGCCAGTGGTTTGTAAAAGAAGTCAGTAAGCATAATGATCAAAACTTGTTTTACAAAACGCGATAATTTTTATTTCAACCACTTACACTAGATCTTAATGGCTGCCTGTAATCTTTGAGCAGCTTAAGATTACCTAAGCATGTGTATGAGGTATGCTTGCAGCAGCACTGGTGGCAAGTATAACCTCTATCTTCTCAGACAGCCATGCGGTTTTGTGTAAGGAGCAGTGGAAATTGAAAGTGACATCTCAGTGGAGTCAAAGGGAATGTTATTTCATTATCTCCCAATAAGGCTGCAGACAGTATGTGCTACCATTTTTCTCTCAGCAATTCACGTCACTACGGCTGTCATTTTCACTGTCTGATCATTTAATTCATGGATGTACCCAACACCAGCAGTGGCTCTGCTCAGTGAATGCAAGTGAGGATAGGTAGAAAAAACTTTAAAGTGCAGTCCTCTGAGAGTCACTGGAGGTTCAGCTGGGAATGCTTCTAGACATAAAAGTCAGAAACTACAGAAAAAACAAAGTAGGTCATTCTTTGTATCTGCAAACAAACAAAAAAACCCACCTAAAGAAATTAACAAACAAAAAACACAGGAAAAAAGTAAGTTGTAGTGACCTAAAATTTCCTTTCCAAATTCTACACCTAACCTGTCCACTTGCTAGCTACAGGACAGTAGATGTCTTCTTCTACTGCACTGCTTCTTGCGTTGCACTTTACATCTTTGTAAAGTACAGGAAACAAGGATGCAACCAGGCCTTTACAGCAAATGTCAATTATAATTGGATGCTCACACAAGACTGACTTAGATTTCCGAACAAGCATACAAAGTGCTAGGTCATAAACAGTAGGATATGTAGGCAGGAGTTCTTATGATGTACATACCTGGAAAATTGCATGGAAAAATCCACCTCTCTATGAATATGTGCAACCAAAGTATTAGGACTAGAAATGTCTAAGGATGTAATGATGGAAACATTTTTTGTAGTTTTGATTAGTGATGAATTTTATCTGCATAACAGATATCAGAAACAAAATTTACTATCAATTCAAACTATAAACAAGTGTTTAAGGCGACAGGATACAGGGAGAATATATGGACCAGAACATTTTTCTGTCTTTCATTGATAAGCTAGTAGATGGAAACCTTTTCTTTATTATCCTGTTCAAAATCCACATTGCTTTCAAATACATTTTATCTACCAGAAAAAGTCGACTCTCTAACAGCAATATGGTTTCAGTCACTGTAAGTCTTCTGAGCATACATAACATCAGTGCTACCACCTCATGTGGCGCAGTTACCTGGATGACTTCACCTTCCACATTCAGTAATTCCTTATCTAGATCCAGGCCTTCAAAGATATGCTGGAGATGTTTTCATTCCATGAAGGCATCATCAGCTCTTTCTACTTTTCTCTCATTAGGCTGTGGAGACCTACGGAACAGATAGTACCATGACCCAACTTCTCAACAGCTTGGACTTCTATGTTTTGCCAGTTGTTAATATCGATGGTTACGTTTACACTTGGACAACTGTAAGTATGTTCCTCTGTCAAGAATATTGCTGGCTAAGCCAACTGTAAGAACTCTTTCTTACTTTTACTCTAAGCTTCACCATTCTATTTTAGAACCGTATGTGGAGAAAGACACGCTCTAAAAACACTGGCAGCTCTTGCATTGGTACTGATCCCAACAGGAACTTCAATGCTGGCTGGTGCAGTAAGTGTCTCCTAATAGAAGCTACAGCAATCACCCAGAAATGCAATAGCCAAAATACTTAATTATGGATTTCCGCTTATATTACTATGGTTTTGATTGAAGACATCATGATTTTGATTGAAGACCACCAATATAGCATTGTGGAATAGCTGGTGTTCAAATTTTATGCAAAAAACAAACTTTGGTTACTAGTTTCATCAGTATAGCTACTTCTATGAACAGCAGACTTCAGAAGAGAAGTCAAAATAGCTTTCTTTCAGTTGTTTCACTCATTGCAAAGAGGTGCCCTCTTTGCTGGTTCCTGAAAGCATTCCAGATATGGGGGAGATGTGCAAGGAGAAGACTTTTAAGTAAGGATGCAAATAATAATCATTTAGATAACATAGGGCTTTGCAAAGAAACTCATGTCCCTCCAAACAAGAAGTACAGATCGTACTTAATTAACACTGCGTCATATTGCCCAGTGTCTTAACTATGCAACAAAGGACTCTCCTGATACGGTACAGGTGTGGCAGTAGGATTTCCAAGGTTTATTATGAAATTCACATTATATCATTCTCCTAACAACCAACTTTTTTATTAAATATTCATTATGTTCACTGCTCTTTCCAGAACTGGGGGCCTCAAGTAGCCCATGTGATTCTACTTACTGCGGCTCCTCACCTGAGTCTGAAAAGGAGACAAAGGCTTTGGCTGATTTTATTCGTGAAAATCTTTCTACAATCAAGGCATACCTGACTATTCACTCCTATTCCCAGCTGCTACTGTTTCCCTATTCATACACTTATTCACATCCAAAGGATTACAAGGAACTGGTAAGCACAAGTTCTTTGTCATTTTGATGTAATGAAAAGAATGTTTTTGATATAATGAAAGAGCATTATTTAGGTCTATTTAACTTCAGGCAGAATCTTTAACTATGAATAAAGAGTATATGTTGCCAGTTTTTGAACATACTTCAAAAGCCAGAGACACCATGATGGCTTCCACATACTTCAGGCACAAGATAACCTTGAGAACCTTACTTAATTTCAGTGTATACAGTGAATTTGCCACAAGGTCAGGATTGCTTTCCAGTCATGCCATAGAGAAATTCACTACATCATGCAGCACTGCTTCTTCCTGATGCAATAATTTGCAGTGTGTGTGGCTGCAGAACATCCCACAGAAACATTTCCTTTGTAAGCCATGCTAACAGCTTGCTAGACTATAATAACTACACAGAAATGACTGAAGTGGTACCAGCACCAGCAAATAAGGAACTCTGCCTAATACTTCGTACCAAACCTTACTTCTCACTGAAGGAAAAGGGTGAGACTCCTGTTAAAGAGAATGATGCAGCTTGAGGACAATGAGGCAGTTTTTGTCAATAATAAATGTAATATATAGTATTAATTACTATATATCTATATATTGGACTATGATTATAACTAAAAACAGGCACAAAACAGGTGAAAACAATCTGAGACCCTTCTAAATAGGCCTTGATTCAAATACACCCCTTACTTGGAAGAGAAGAAGATAAATGTCATGTTTTAAATAACAACTCCTCTTTTATTCATCCAAAATGAATGAAGGACACACCCTAACACCATTTGAATAACAATCTGGAATTTAAAAAAAAAGTTAAAAATATTAAGTGTGCATAAAAGTTGTAAACATTTCACAAGGCCAAGAATCAACAATCATGAATAAGAAAATTACTTCAGTTCTCTGGCATATTAGCAATTAGAAGCTGTTGGCAGGCAAAACAACAGAGCAAAACAAAACAAACAAATCTTGATTCCCTCTCTTTCCTGGATGCTGCCAAAAGTCCAAGGCAACAACACTCAGTGTGCTGGTCTGCTGGGGGGGCTTGACAGATTTATGAGTGCTCCCTAATAGATGTCACAATTCCAAAGCACAAACAAGAACTCGGGCCAACAGTGAACTTTCCTGCAGCATGTTTTACAGCTTAAAAGAGAGGATGAAATCCAGATGAAAACTTTGCTTTCTTAATTTATTTTCCAGAAAGCTTTGATTTTAATTATTCCATGGAACTATAGTGATTTCTTGTCTTCAGTTTTTACATTTTTTCACATTTTACACATGGCAGTTCAGTCTCAGGCAATAAACAGCACAAAGCCCTTGAGCTGCTTCGTTGTCAAGATCACAAAGTTCACATGTGCTAAAAAGTTGCATGACACTCCGCTCAACTTTCTGAATCAAAAGCAAATGTGAAACTTAACTAAAGCCCCAGCAAGCTTCTCACAGTATTAAACTGAGAAAGTTTGCATCAACGGCCTAGTATTTAAAAAATACAAGAAGTCCTATCCATTAAAACAATCTTTAGAAATAAGAAATAACTTCTGATTTTCTTGGTTTTCACTTTCTTTTATCAATTTACATTTTTATGATTAAAAATATATTCCAATATGGAATATAATTTCATGCATTACTTTTACAATGATTCTCCAGCTTTTAATTAATAAAAGCCTTATTTTCCTGCCATAGAGAACAAGTCTACTATTGCTATTCAGCATAAGAAATAAATAGCTCAGGAATACAACCTATATACTTCTCTTCACCTATTTGATTTCACTTCATAAGTTAGATTTTCCACTGTCATTTTATCCTACATTTTAAATTGGGTACAATGATCCCAGAGGGGGTTCCATTATTTTCCAGTACAAAGCAATTACAAACCTCACCACCAATGACAAGGTGACCCGATGAGTGGTTTTCATGTATTAATTAAGGGAAATACTTCTTTTACTGGCGATCCCAACAAAAAGACAGCAGGATCCCAGGGATATTCTACTTGAGCAGTACCTGACTTTAACGAGGGAAGACTTCTTGCCAAAAATCCTTCTTTCAGAGAATGAGATCAGAGTATCATCCAATCAAAACTGCCTATAGCCGGGGTAATTAAACAGAAAAGGCCCAATTCACTCCAACACCAATGAATTAAATAGACTGACTTCCACAGGCTCTGGGTCAAGTTCAAAGGTGCGGCTTTTCGGGCCACTTGAGATAACTAAAGCACATTCCTTTGAGCTGTAACTAAAGAAATTTAAGATTTTCCATCAATAGCTGGATTTGCTTAAAATGATACACTTACAAAAAGAGATATTGTGGTGTATTGCCAGTCATTATTCTGTGACAAAAAGTTCTGTCTAGATTTAGAATTTAGAGAAATGGAGAGAAATTAGAATCTCAACCTTTCATAGAGATTGTTTGGGTGAATCAGAGGACCATAAATCACTTTTCAAATGGAGCAAAATTTATAGTGCCATTATCTTATCTTGGATGTTATTTTTACTCTGACAGATCTAATAAATTAAAGGAAATATAGCTGCAATTTCTTATCTCTTCCAGTGAGCAGCTCGACATGTGGTTAAACAAAATTTCATGTCTGCTTATCATTAATAATATTTTGTTCCATTATATTTAATTAAAGGTAGCATAATACATTGAGGTCTGTGCCACATTCCAGTGTCTGAGACACATAAGGGTACAAAAATTGAGTAATTTGAGATTGAAATCAGTAGGTCTGCACAAAAGAAAGATCTAGAGAAAGCCTGTACCTTCCTTTCCTGCCAGAACACTGAGCAGTGTCCTTGGGGCTTGAAAGACTTTCTCTTTTGCTCACAGCCTCAAGAAATCAGAAGGCAAAAAACTGTTCTGCTTTTTGTTCCTCGGGTAAAACAGGGCACTCTAGGAGTTCCAGCAACCTTTATGCTTCATTCTTCACTGCCATAGCTAATCATAGCAACCTCACATTATTGTAACTTGGTTTGAGAACAGGATTAGGGCTATCCCCAATCACCCCAGGACTAAACCGTGTGACAGAAGATAAAAATCATGCATGACTCTTCCTTCCCACAACTTCCCTCCTTTGCCTGAGAGGCAAGAGGAACTCAATCCACAGAACACAAGAATTATCCCCAGATTTTTCTCCCTGTATTCAGCATAGGATAATTTGTTTGTTTCTCTCACTTCTGAGATGCTACACAGAACTTTCACTGTTATCCAAACAATACACAAACAAATAAAAACACCCAAGACAGGAAAATCTAGGTCAGAATTTTCTCAGAAGTTGCACAATATTCTGGAGATGACTCCATGAAAGAAAAATGTACTCTTTTTTGGTGGATCTCATTTTGCCTGCCTCATAATCTTCACTTGGCTCATTATTTACTGTACCCTTGGGAGTTTCATTGCACACAGAATGCACACTTGAATCCATCGCTTACTGAGAACAGAAGCATTAGCTCTTCACAATTAAAATGTGATTGGCAACACCAGTATCTCTCCCCACCCCAAAAAGATTCTTTTAATCTTCATTTTACCATTCACATTTTTGTCTTCCTGAAATACAGGCCTCTGTATTTAATCACATTCGGCACAAGCAGTTCAACCCACATGCTTTAATCAGTTCAAATTTTTGCCTTACTTTCCTACTAGGTCATCCTATGCTTTCCTCATTTTCAGCAAAGACATATCTAGCTCTATCCATTCTTGTTCGTATTTGAATTGGTTCTGAACTGATAGAGCAGAGGTATGTCCACCATGCTCTCTCTTCCTTTCCAGGTTCAATTCCATCTCTTTGCTGAACAAACTCAGCACCAAATCCACATCTGCATGTTAGATTAGTATTATTACTGTTTGGTAGGCTATGGAATATTGTATTAATTCACAGCTGAAGATAATTTTCTAGACACAAGATTTCCACTTATTTTGTTGTTTAAGTTCACTGAAATTCATTCTTCTATATTGGGCTGGTCTACCATTTCACTTCTCGTACCATCTGAGACCCTTAAAATAGAACAAGGTAGAAAGCAGAGATAGGCATAGAGTCTGTGCAGTCTGCAAGAAGAGTGAATTTCAAATATGTTACGTGACTTGGTGAATACTATTAGTCTGGTTATTTAACCTGATGCCTGGGAGCAAAGTCTCTTCATCACTGATTTAATTCCAGAATGTGTTTAAGATGTCGGAATACTTGTAGTTACAAATTTTTGAACAACAAAAATCCTATTTTCTAAAGGACTCAGAGATACCAAAGAAGAGTCACAACCTACACTACTGTATCTGTACTGTTAAAAACTCCTTAGATTGAACTGTTGTTACAAGTAAATATTTGGTAGAGAAGTTGGAAAGTAGAGCAAACGGAAGCAGCCAGAAAAGCAGTATTTGGAAGCTGTTGCACTGAGTTTGTCAAAACAGACCTGCTCTGTACTGGTAGTGTCACTACTCTGAAAAGGATGCTTACAGTAGCAGCTTCATACAGATGATGCTTTTGTGTGAGCTTGGCTCAAAGTCAAGTCTCCTACAGTCATAGAGCACATTCACCTTAACATAGTCACGCTGGAAACCCTCTCACCAGGGATCAATTTCTTATGCAGCCTGTAAGACTGCCTCAGAGAAACTGGCTTGCAAAGGAAAAAGAGCATCATACTGCAGTCTTCCACTTGGCTGGATTCCCTAGGCTCTTTAGGGAGATGCTTAACCATGAGCAACAACAGAACAGTGCACTAAATTACACATCAGCCATGGACTCCTGAGGGGAGTCTGGTTTTACTGCCAAAACAAGAAGCCTCGGAAGTGCAGCTTCACTTGGCTACAGCTAACTTTGCAAACAGCACCCTTCAGACTTCCATTACAAAGGAAGTTTAAGTAGTACATGAGACAGAGGTGGAAGGAAAATACGGTTTTCAACCTCAGGCAAATCAATCTGCAGTGCAGTGAGAGCAGAGTCTGGCCCAGTCACTCAGAGAACAGGTGTTTCAGCCTGGTCTGGTGGTTGGCGGCCCTGCACATAGCAGGGGGTTGAAACTCGATGATCATTGTGGTCCTTTTCAACCCAGGCCATTCTATGATCCTGTGATGGCAAAGGGAATTGTCCACAGGCAGCAGCTGCGTAATCAACATCCTTGAAGTGTTTCTAAACAGCCATGGTTTGCTGGTAAATCTGCCCTGATGACAGAAGAATGAAATGAGGGAGCTGCCCCCCAAAAATTACCTATTAACAGGCAGAAGATGCTTCTCCTGGTAAATTATGTTGTTAGCTCAAAGCTCCAGATGTGATAGAAAAGTTGGCCAGTTAGACACATCTTTCATTAAACACTAATAACAATAAACATAGGTTTAAAGGTTGTAAATTATGTAAGATAATGACAACTGAGAACACAACTCTGCTGTCTCCCTGGCCATTGCACTCCGCACACAAGATTAGGCAAAATATTAGTAATTGCTGTGTAAACACAGGTGGATGATTAGTGCAGGGAATACACCTTCTGCTGAAATGACCTGCTCTGCGAGTTCAGCTCTGAGTCAGAATCTGGAAAGCCATTTCTGCTCCCAGTTACAAGATATTAATTAGGAGTTATTCCTAGGACTTCAGGGCGCCGCTTGCTTCTCTGCTGCTATATCTCTGAGCAGAGTTTTCCTTGCAACAGAGACATTCTTGACAGTTAAAAACAAAGAAACCACAGCAATTGAATTAAGCCAGTTAAACAAAGAAATCTTGAAAATCAGTCAACAGAAAAGAGTGTCCTCTAAGGTCAATGAGATAGCCATGCATCTCCTGGCAGCTGTATTCCAAATAGCATACAGGTACGAAAATCCAAACTATTTTTTAAAAGCTAAATATCACAACCTCCTCTTGAAAAATGTTTTGTCGGACTCACGAGCTTCATTCTTATTCGTTCCTCATTTTTATATCATGAGAAAGAGGTGACTTCAGTTCCTAAAAAGTTGAAATTTTGTTTTGACCTTCAGACGTTGCACTGTAAATCCATTAGGAAAGCAACTGGGAGAGAGTCACTTAATAAAGAAAAAAAAATCAGATTTCAAACCTTTTGATAAATGTTCATTTCAAGATGAAGTCATAAATGCTCGGTCATGTTGCTCAGTTAATGGAGAAGGTCATTTAAATACCACATCAATCTCCAAGCTGCAGAACTTGAGGAAGTTGTATATTTGGATTCCAGTCTCCCTACTGGAAATCTCAACCTCTTTTGCTACAAATCCTTCTCATAACTTCCTGGCCAATAACAAAATACCCCCCAGGTAAATACACTTCCTGACATCCTTTATCTTCTGCCTGTTCTGGTCCGATTTGAAGCAGGCATTTTGGCAGACAGAAGGTATGCCCCACTCTTCCCTAAAAGCAGCTTTACTCTTCTGTTGTCTCTACAATGCAGTTCACTGAAAAAAGATCAAATATTAATAACCAGCTGGTCCATAAGGAGTGTAAAACTAATCTTTCCAATTTCCAAACTTTGGAAACATATTTTTGAAAAGAGTAAGAATCTGTTTACATTTAATAATGAATTTACTATTTACAGATTTGACAGATTTGAGAAACCAAAACCAAAAAACCCAATGGTATTGCTAGCAAATGCCAGAGAGACCTCAGCTACTCCTGCTGCTCTGAATCAAAATTCAGCACTTATGAGTGGGGAAACCCTTGCAGTCCTGTAGTAGGCTACCAGCATTAACGCAAACATATTTTGATGCTGTTTTGCAGAAACTCCCTCGCTAAACTAAGATTTTTCAAAACACATGGTCCAATATGCATTTCTGAGTAATTCACAGAAACACTTAAAGCACAAGGGTAAACAGAATGTTTTACAATCTCTCTTGCTCTGGGAAATAAGCCAGAGTACAACCTAAAGAGAAAGACGGGGCTTGAGGAAATTCTTGGGATAGTGAGCATTCAGCTGTAAGCTATAAACAAAGATAAGGCAACCCATCACTTACTCTTATACTGAACATCTGCTTTCAAAAATCATTCACATTCATCATCTGTTAGTAATAGTTTTCATGTTTTATTACCAACATGCTGTATAATGAAGAAGTGGAAAAGTCACACATTCCAAAGTCTGTAATTTTCCTTACTGCAAACACACAAAGCTTCATGGTAGCACTGATGGGCCCGATCCAGCGCTCACCGAAATCAGTGGGAGTTGAACGAGCCCCTCTGAGCACAGGAAATGAAATGAAATTAATGAGACTACATATGGTTCTGAGGTAATTTATGCCTTTTCTGTCTATTAACATTTATTACACTGCTTCCACTTCCAGCGGTGTCCAACTCTGCCGACTAAACTGGTGCTACTCTCAATTTAAATGCTGCATGAACAGAAAGGAAGGCTACTGTGTTCCCAGTCTACTGTACCAAGTTATTACCCTTCAGAGGGATTCCTTACTTATTTTAAGTCTTGTACAGGTTTCTTGTAAGTATAAAAAATGCTGTTTGCTATTGCCCAAGCTATATGGGACTATGCACCAGCTATACACTAAGGCAGCTCTACACAGGCAGACTATGCACCACTGAAGCTTGGAGAACAAGCTTTTTACTGACAGGGTATGTACTGGCAACTACTTGCATCTAATCATTCTGAGAGGTGGAAAACAGTTTACCTTCTCAAGCACAGCTTTGCAGTTTACTCAACAAATTTGCCAAGATTCACACAGAATGCTTCTAGAAATCTGCATTTATATTTGCTCCTTCCCTACAGAACACCATTGCTAGTGCTGCAACCAAAAAACTGACCAGTCTGTACAACACCAAATACGTATATGGCCCAGGAGCTACAACAATCTGTAAGTACTTGCCTAAATATGCCAATCTAAAATGGATCTCAGTAATTGCATAAGTCACAAACGCCTTTCCACCACAAGAAGAAATCAATTGATTTACTATATATCCTATATAGTATATATACTATATATATATACTATATATATTTTTAATTGTTTGTATATCTGGTTCTGCAGCTTGTTTCTACGTTTACAGTCATGTTTTATGTCTTTATCGCAGACCCTGCTGCAGGAGGCTCTGATGACTGGGCTTACGATCAAGGCATCAAGTACTCTTTCACTTTTGAGCTCCGTGACACCGGTAATTATGGGTTTCTTCTGCCTGAGTCTCAGATAAAGCCAACCTGTGAGGAGACTCTGCTTGCTGTTAAATACATTGCCAGTTATGTCCTTGATAACTTGTATTAAAGGAAATTCTAGAAACGATTAAAGTTACTCAAAAGCCTTTTTCTGTATGTTCAATAATTTTTTATTTTTTTGCTCTACTTAATGCTTGGCCATATCCTTAGTCCATAAAAGGTCAATAATCAGAAAGTCTTCCAAGATAAATTCTACCTTCTGTTAAGACAACCAATATAATTAGGTGGGGAGGGGTGGCAGATAAGCCTTGCTGGAAAAATAAGCATGCTCGAACAGCTGCTTTTCTGAGATCCACATCTTTAAGTTCAAGTTTTAAATCACTTCTCGGTACCATCTCTGTCTCTTATTTAATCTTCATATGAAATTACCTAGGTATTTCATTGCCAGTCGCTAATAAAATGCTAACAACATATAGAGTGCTAGAAGAATTTATCCAGTGACTGGATTAAACGCATAAACAAAATAAGCCTTCATATTTTGACAAATAAAACACATTTTTAAAAGAATGGCTTTCTCAGCCAAAAAAAAAAAGAAAAAAGAAAAAGACTTTGGCTTCACTGGAATTGCACAGATACAGCAAGGAATACATTAATTCTCTCACAAAATGGGATGGCGAAGACTAGTGGGCTATGAATGTCTGTGTGGCACGAGTGAGTGTGGCAGCTACTGACTTCCTCCTATAACCGTTAGGTGGGATCTCTCACTCAGATTCTTATTATTTATTCTGGCAAATGTAGTACATATTTGTTTCTGCCTGTTAAAATCATGATTTCCCCATTTCTCTCTCCACCTTCTGTTCTCTCTTTCCTCTGGCACTCCTTCCTCTCACAAACTATGCAAACTTTCCCAAATCTCTCCCTTTTGTTCAGTTCAGAACAGCAGCCTTCCTGAAGTGAAAGATTCAGGGGATACCCCGTTAGACAGTTTCTATCAAGAGTTTAATATTTTAATAATAAGGATTATAAAATAAACAGAATGGATCCTGAAACATTCCTCCTTTTTCACTCCTGAGCTGATATCAGAATCAGTTTAAGCTCATTAACCTAAAACTTGCAGTCAGTGTTTGCAGTCTTTTCACAGATAAGTGAAATTTCAAGACCTTATTTCAAGCTGTTAGAATTCATCTGTGGTAACCAGAAAAAGTGAAAATGCTTTACACCTGAGTTAATACACGCAGTCTGCAAATCAGAAAAATGAATCCGGTTACAACTAGAAAGAATCAGTAAATTTATTCTCCACTGGGTGAACTATAATGCAATCTAAGTTCTAGCTGAAAAGAAGTATGTGACAATACCTTTTTTTGTTTTGTTTTAAAAGCACACGTGGGCCAGATTCTTCCCTGCTGCAGCTCAGTTAGGTCAACATGACCATATGCTCTGATCCAGGAGATTAATTTACCTTTTAAGTGAGGTGGTGCATTTAAAAGTCGCAACAAGATGACTTTATTTTCCCTTATTACGAAGGAAACTTGAGACCTATCAGAAAAGGGAGACAAAATCCCTTTATTAAATGCTTATCTCAGTAATGAATAAGGCACAGAAGACTCACGTTAAATGAAGCATTAATAGTAAAGATGGATATGGGACACCAGACACATCCTGAGGGGAGCTGACCAGTTTCATCTCTGTAATAATCTGCACAAGAAGCTTAAGCAACTTAAGATAAAGGTTGCTTGAATGATTAAAATGATCTTTACACAGAGCAGATGGGTAGAGCATTAGGACTTACACAGCCTGAGCACTAAGCATAATGAAAATATCTAGGTGATTTACATAAATACACTTTCATCCAAACTTTGCCTTAATGGCGACAGTGACAAGGAAAATTTCTTATTATATACTTCCAAAAGGAAGATACCTGGGATACGTTCTTGGGAACTGTCTCAAAACCCACCTCAATCTGCCCCATCACTGCAGATCCGAGGTCCTGGACAGTCCTATCTGAGCTCAGCACTGAAGCTCACAGTTAATAGCAGTTCTAACTTAGCAAGCAGAGCTATGAGCTACTCCATGTGAGACTCTCACACTCACAACAGTAGCGTTTGTCAAAATATCCTGAGTCCTGCTATATCCAGGGGCCCCACCGTTTCCACTGTCATTACCAGAATTACAAACAGCCGTGAGAATTAGTTTGATGATGAACGAGCAACTTTCTTTTTCAAAAGAAGCTGTAAGAAATTATCCCTTCCTGATCCATTTCCTATACAAGTAACATGGGTCTGTCTGGTTGAGTCAAAGTGGGTGAGAGTGATAAATAGTTTCCCTCAGCAGCTTTTTCACGCAGCTGCACAAAAGGTGTTTGGCATTTACCAGCGCTGTTTAGAATTTGGCTGCTAGGGGACACACTCTGCAGAAAGATGCAAAAAAATCTTGTGCCAGGACAGGACCTGCCCTATCTCCCTGCTACTGGAGGCTCTGAACAGAGATTTCTTCTGTCCGTTGGCACTTTGGCAATTAGCACTGGTTTTTTTGGCATTTCCCTATCTGATGTGCTCAAAACAGGCCACGAAATGCATGCCTCATTCAGTAGCGCACTCCAATCGGCCCAGCCCCACTCCTTGTACGCACGGCTGGTCCATCTGCTGTGGACTAGTGATGAAATAGAACCCACATGCAAAAGTAGCACTCACCAGTGAAAACACAAGTCATTCTATTTTGCAATGGAAGTAGGGGGGAAAATGATCAGCGTTACCAATAATAGTGCAAGCAGAACGTGTTGACCAGAGCCAAACATCTCATGAAGGGCAGGAAAATATTTTCCTTAGAGAACAACATCTTTTGGCTAATTTTAACCAAGTAATAACCACCCAGAGATTACCCAGGCTACAACTGTATAATTCTGGCAAATGCCACAGGTCTTATGCTGACTGCAGAGTGAATTGTTGATGCTCAGCACCATTCATTTATTCCTAGGAAGACCTCAGGCAACTAAAGACACCACAGGCAACTAAAGACAAAGGGTCAGCCACTGCCTCCAGCAGCTCCAGGGCTACCCCAAATGTTGCTTTGGAGAGTGGGGTTTTGTCTCTGGGAAATACGGAAACGTATTTTGAGACAGGGAAATATCTCAAAATATATAAAACTTTTCCTTCAAAGGTTGTTGAACAAAGCACCCCAGCTTCTTGGCACACATGGAAATGTTTCATTTCTATATTTACCAGAAGGCCTAAAACACTTAACTCTGGCATTCCTCAGGGAAAGTATGAATCACCTTGCTTTAATATAAAATCAACTCCCAATTTCCTGGCTTCATGGAGGAAAAAAAATAATATTCGTGTTTCTCTTCAGCACACTGATAACATAAGCTATAAGGACTGGCATAAAGACTGCAATGAGGCAGAAAGGAGAAAAGCTTGGGAGCAATGGCCATTATCTCACAGATCCCTGAGCTGCTGCTAACATGAATCAGGCCACAGAGCACAGCCTCACAGCACTGCCAGCAGCCAGGCCCTGGCCAGGAGCAAACCAGCTCAGAGCACCTCCACTCCTCCCAGTGCTCATCTGTAATCAAACTGCTTCAAAATCAAGCAAAGCTGGTAAATTTGAAAATAACAAACAACTGAAAAGACAAATATTCTGTGATGCAGCCCTGACGTTTTCTGACCATATAAACTGCACAGTCACTTACCAGAGCACTCACTTTCTCTCCACTGCGATCCCAAATCGGAGATCCCTCTACCCCTTCCCCACAACCCCTCCTCAGCGACCAGCACAGGCAGGAGCAGCAGGCTCATTTCGTACTGACTTGCAGAAAAACGATTCTTACATTTCCTGCTACAAATAGAACTGCTGTTCACGACCCAAAGGCTTTCTTTAGGGATCATAAATAGAACAGTTCCTACTCCAATGGAACTAGAATTCCTAATGACATATTTTAGTCCGTGTCTTTGAATCTTATTTGAAAAGCAACAATATAGCCTTTATAACTGTGGAATATGTATTCTTCCTTTTAAAAGGAAAGCTGAATAGACAATGTTTTATTTCTAGCTTTTGTCACTGCTATTTCTTTGCAGTTTCAGGCTCACATCTCCATTGTAAGCTATACTGTCACAGACAACACTTGTGAAACATACTGTCTAGTATGGCCCGTGTCTAGTATATGTCTAGTATATATATATAGATAGATAGATAGATAAATAGATAGATATATCCTCAAGGTTCTTAACACAAACTAAATTTGCATGACGCTTTCTAAACTTAAAAAATTTAGACAATTGAGGAACTTCATGTACTTCTTCATGCTACAGAACCAGATAATGCTTACTAACTTTACCCTGCTAGCACCTTGTGCCTTGCAGACCACGTTACTGGACGAGCACAGATCAGCCGATGTCTTCCCTCGTCTTTTGCACCCTGCGAGCCTTGCGCACCCTTCTGAAGCCAGGCCTTCCTCTGCCAGCCTTCACACTGACTAATGTTTGTTGGCCCACATGCCTGGGATGCTGAGATAAATACTGTCTTGCAGCTGATCTTGGACATTTATCCCGAGGGACACTGAATCTCTCCTACTTTTTGTGGAGCTGTTTTGCTCAGCCTCCCTGGCTTGCTTTGAGACAATTCAGCAGTCATTACCGCTCCCACATTCCCTTTCAGGAATTCTCCTGGCATTTCAGCCACAGCCATTTCTCATAAAGCTGTTGGAAGCTTGAAGAGTTATGGGAACATATGGTTCACTTTCCCACTGTCCAGTATCTGCAGCACTTTCTGGAGCCCTAAGGCTCATTCTCGACAGTGGCACTAAGCACTCACAAACCTTGGGCTGCTACTCATCCTGATTGCAGCTTTGGGCATACCCAAAACAATTCAAAATGAGAAGTACAATTTTCTTGGATTACCATTGCATGATGCTCACCTGAAATATTCTTAGGTTGCTCATAGAAATTCATCTGTTCATACATAAAGATGATAAGAGATCACTCATCTATCTGAAGAAGTTTTAGAATAATCCACATTAAAGCTGATTTAAAGTTTTTTTTTCCCCAAGAGCTGTAAAATGGCAGAGACAACAGAGCTTCTCTGAAGTCTGTTATTCCTTACCTGTGCTCTTGGTTTTCGACAATACAATCACATGGAGGACATGCTAGAC